ATTTAAGTATTTGTCAAATCGTGATTTTATTAAAAGAAAATTATAAATGGTGTTGAAAAACCAAAAAACCACCACAAACAAACGCTCGTGCGAAAACTCTATTTTTGTGTATTGTTAAAATTTATACATGGCGTACTTATTCTTTTGTGGACTTTATGTTACTTGAGAATTTAGACAACGTGCGAGCTGCCAGGTTCTGTTATCAATATAATTAACACAAGCTTTTCCGAGTGGTTGCCTTTCAATAAAAAGAATAAACAAATATTCGCAAATAAATTGGATTTATTTTATAACTGACAACTAACCTACGCTTTTTGTTCTTTTCTCCATTTTAATTTTGACTCCTTATTACCGCCAACAACTTTATGAGTATACATATTTACAAGCTGTCAAAATTTTGCGTAGTCCCACGAGCTAGGTAAAAACTATGGCATTCGTATTCACAACGAGAAATCTCAAAATTTTTGTTTGGTCTTTCCAAATTTTCTCTTTTTAATCGGTTGGCAAAGGCCCTCCTTGGCAGCGCTCCGAGCGTTGAGATAGTAATTTCATGTCAATTAGTAGAAAAGTGCCATGTATTTTTATTATGGCGAGAAAATTTTACATTTCTGCTGTGCCAATTCGTAACTTTTTACTGTTGGAAATTTTTTGACAGTTGCTCTGGTTCAAAAGAAGTTGAGCAATTAAAATCAGAAATTACACAAAAAAGACTTTACTGACATTTATTCTTCTAGAACTAAAAGCCATGAATTTATTAGACGCCTTAGTAATAAAACCAAACCATCAGGCCGGGTTGAAAATTTTCATTCACCTCATAGTTAACAAAAATTTACAATCCGTAGTACTTTTCTATCAATTCGCAAATGCGTTTAATTTAAATCGTTTAGAAAATGCGTCATTTATGTATACCATTTTATGTGGAATTATTCAATAAGTTTCGTTTTACACTATACTTTTTGAAACTATTTGGAGTTAATTATTTTTTGTTTTTTAAAAGCAACCCTGCGTGCTTGGAAGGCGTGTGTCCCAATAATTTCATCCCTAGCATATTCATCCCCGAGGAAGGCAGTCGCCAAATTCACCGAAGGTTGGTTACTGGTTATATTGTGCAGAAATTTGACAACAAAACAAAACGAAGTGAGTATTTTATTTGCTAATTTTTTCGATTTCTATTGTTTAATTTAAATTTTATGTCTTTTTAGGATATGTTGAGTCAAAAAAGAAGGCGCAGTTGGAAAATGAAGTGATTAGTACGAAGTAGCAGCGCAGGCACATTTGGAAAATTATGCTGATAAGCAAGATAGAATTTGGGAAATTCAGTGCCTGGTTGCAGCATACCTATGTATTAAAAAAGTAATTAATTAAATGAAATTGTGTTTAATATAAATGTTGTTAATCGAGTGGCGTTAGTTAAGATGTGCTCCAAACATTTGGCGAACTTTTTTTCGCCTTCTCAACGTGCTAAGTTACAAGTTAAGATGACTGCCACCACGGCCGGTAGGAAGCCCGAAGCAAAGGGCAAACAACCTTATAGGAAGCTGCCTGGTGTCCCCGAGTCGTAGCTGAAGTTCAGCAAGAAGCAGGTCAGCAAACGTGCTACCCTGGTCAAGCACATGGTGCAGCGAACAAAGGTGGCGCCGTTAGTGGTACCGCTACTTTGGTTTTGCCGATTTTGACAGTTGTGGTAACTTGTAAATAAACCTTTGTTTACAAATCATCGAAAGAGAAATTTGAATTATAAGTGAAAAATCAGTTTATATTGTGTTAATTTGCAATTTGTGAGCGATTTTGGAGTTGAAGACTGCGTAAAAACTAATAAAATGAAGTGCTGTGTGTTAAATTGCGACAGCCATCAAGATGCAAGATGCGTAGATACAGTGGCGTAGCCAGGAGGGGATTTGGGGGGATAGATCCCACCTCCTTCGTCATTGAACTACAATTATTTACTTTTGAATTAATAACACAATACTATTTTATTCTTCTGATTTAAAATTTTTTTTTATTTCAGACGGATGACAAATTATCTTTTAATGAATATATGAGTAGTCCACTTGCAAACAGCGTTATGTGATTTTATAAGAGTAAACCATAAATTTAAAAAAAACGTCAACGACAACAAGTAACATCCGAACTGTATCTTTTTTTATTACCTGAAAATTTGCATAAATAAGAGCCTAATACTATTAAAAAAATAAAATTGCAGTATGGTAGATTTGCACATTTTATATTTAAAAATTTAATATTGCAAGTTTTGAAACAGTAACTTTTATATAGCTAGCTTTTTTTAGCTTTTCGCGTTCTCTCCTCTAGGAAGATTGGTTTGCTTCTTTTTTGCGACCTCTTCCACTAGGCACCGAAACTACCACGTTTTCTTGCAGTTTTCTAAGTTCATACGAAGAGGAGACATTTGAAAGTGTATAAATAAGTATTATAGCGACTTTTGCAAGAGTAGTTAACATTTCATGCTATTTTTTTCAGAATATAGAAAAATTTTTCACTCTGCTGTTAGTGGACATGAAACCCACCAAAAACTAAAAATCTAAAAAAAATTTACATAGCGCACTTTGCAAGTGGACTACTCAATTGTTCAATATGATATCTTATTTATCCCTTCTTTTTATACAATTAAGGAGCGGCTGAATGGTTTAACCCTCTAGTAGGCTGAACCGCCTCCAGACGGTCGTTAACTAAACACCTTTTTAGTGCACCTATAATAATTTTTTTCTATATTCGTAAAGCACGATCTTTAGAAAAAAATCGTACCCTTACGGCGGTGTAAACTTTAATCCGTTATGTCAATCCGTTTTATTTTAATCGGCAGTTGAATTACAGATTTTGAAAACACGGTTAAAATTAATTATTTCTTGCTATTTAGTAATTTCGTAATTAAAGAAATTTTTTCTTTTGAAAACTTTTTTGATATAAAAAAATTTGGTGGATTTCGTTGTTAAAAGCACCGTATTTTAATATAAGTTTTGTAATTATGTCACCATTCGAAATGGAGAAAATTGCTTTCGAACACAGACCGTCTACAGACCGGCTTGCCGACATATAAAAACCCAGTTTGCATTTTTTGTCCGTCTGCAGACGAGATTGCCGGTTCGTAGGTCTACATTGTGTAAGAGAAAGCTGAAAATATGTGTAAGTATATCGGCGAGCCCGTCTCCAGACGGTCTTGGTTTTCCCCCCTGTAGGAAAAAGTTACTGTCACAGATCGAAATGGACATCATTTTTGGATTTCTCGTGCTAAATTCACCCATTCCTGAATGTTTCAACTCATAAAAAAATTGGCCTACTAGAGGGTTAACGATGTGCCGATTCCAACACAAGAAGAAATTGTAACAATGTGTCTTAAGCAACGAAGATTAAAAATCGCTTTAAAAGTAATAAGATTTTGTAGACTTGTACATAAATAAATTAGGGTATTCACAGTTTACTTCTAAAGTTAAAAGGTGGCAACTTTTACAAGATAACACACTCGAACTGTGAGCAACCCTTATATTTAAATAAAGTATTAAGTTGATCAGCAATACCACGCATTGCTAGATGTAGTTTTGGTTTAACGTGGGAACCTACTGCAATTTAATGCAGTTTTAGCTCCACGGAGTCCAAAACTCAACGGATAAATTTTTGCCTTAATCATTGCCCTGAAATGCAAGCATCTCAGTTCCAATGGCAGTGTGGGGTGACACACTTACCGCCTTGGTGAAGCCGAAGCTTACATAAAGCCGCTGCCAATCTTTGGGTCATGGCACCCGGTTGCAATGCAACTCCACATCGAACTCTTGAGTTCTCCAGCATTTTGGTATTAAACCACAACCACCACGTTACTCCCCGAAGGGCCGCAACCAAAGAGTAGGCCATAGTAAATATAGGATACTATGGGGGCCCCTACTCCCCGTGGTACCTTTTTAAAGTCTTAGGTATGACTTCGAAAGCAGCAGCTCTTCTACCAATTGAGCCTCATGACCGACTCAGGATTGGTAGCCTTTAACTGGGGTACCCGGGATTGTGACACCCGTAGCCTCGCAATGCGAAACCCCCCTGGGCTAGTTGGTACGGTAATCTTCACATCGGAAACTGCGTAAGCACATGTCCTAAACAGGTTCCCATGCAAAGCATCCCTGTTAGTTCATGCCGACATGGAAACAACTTAGGGCAACCATGTCACCACTTAAGATCTAGCCCCGCGTCAAGGACACCAACTTTCGCTAGACCGTTTGCCTTTCACGCGTTTGTGTTTAGAGAGCATCAACAAACCACATATGCACGCACGAAAATAAAGGTCGCGCCATTCGCGGACCGCTAACACTCTCTTCGTCGATTTGACAGCATCCACCCATTCGCTGACGTCACACAATACTTTTGTTTACATTTTCTGGTTCGTGACGTTTTAGGTTATTTCAACTTTACAAATTTACAAATTCGGAAGACTTTGAGCGTTGTTTTGTTTTTTGTGAAAACTGATAAAAAAAAGTTATAAATTAAAGAAAAAAATGAGTGCAGTGGTTAATTGTGCTAGTGTAAGTGCTAAAGGATCTGGGTGCGCTTTTTTTACTTTTCCGGCCGACATTGAGTTGGTGGACGATTTTCAACGCCCGAACCAGCGTCATCTGTGTAAAACACTTCACCACTGATGACTTCGAGAACGAGCTTCAATATAAAATGGGTAAGTTATACTATTTAATTCGCCAATAAGCGCTTATTGGATTTCGTGAGGATGGTGTGACTCAGGAGTAAATTTCACGAAAGGTAGCCGCCCTCATCGTAAATATGAAACCCCCCCGGAAGCTTATATTTTTCACTTTTCATTAATACTGCTTTTTATTAAAAGAAATGTTTTAAATTGTGTTAGGCTACGCTAAAAAGCGTAAACTAAAGCGGGGCGTTGTGCCGACAATTTTCAAGCCTGCTGCGGAAATACTAGATCCTGACAAGGAAGCCCAGCAGCAAGTGTACACAACCATTGTGAGCGATCTACTGGAGCAGTCCACTTCCAAAGGCATTACAAGTTTATATAGTTGAAGTTCTCCTAGTTATAAAAAAGTACATTTCAGAAGCCGAAGGTATTATGGGCCATAACCGCGCTGACGAGGAGAACTGTGGCATATTGCCAGATGCGTTGACGCCTCTGTGTTCCCCACATCGTGCCACACCTAGCAAGGCGTTTTACTATGACAGCACGCTTAAGGAGGTTGAAGATCTGCAAGAAAAATTGTAAGTTCAAAGTTTAATTAAATCTACATACATACATATATATATATCTATACAAACCATATTAAATTTTATTTTGTTTATACGTATTTATGTAGACGAGCTTCATTACGCGAAAACGCTTTTCTCAAAAGCGAACACAGCAAGCAACAAAGCGAGATTGCGGCTTTAAAGCGAGAAGCGCATTTGCAGCAGAAAAGGCATGACTGGGAAGTGGAGTCCTTGCGTAAGAGCTTGTCGGAGGTGAGAATGGAGTTGGCAAGTGTGGAAGAAAAGTTGGCAAAAATTTTTTTCGATTGGCGCAATCTTGTATTCTATCATTCTTGCCCAAGTATCATTAATCTGCATCAACAAGTTGGGGAGATATGACGAATAAAAATGTTCTCTCTGCTAGAGGCGTGTACTTTATCTTTAAAAATAATAATATTAATAGAGTTTCCCCCAGGGATCACATTAATCTGCTGTAAAAACTTCATAAACATCGGTTTAGTACTTTGGACGCCTATAAAAGACACACACACACGTACATATATGTATATGCATTCATTTTTATACCCGAGCGCACTTGTGCACAAGGGTATTATAACTTTGTTCACATAACGGTTGTTTGTAACAGGCAAAACGAATCGAGATAGATATAGACAAATGCATACATAAATGATCAGAATGAAAAGAGAAATCGATTAAGCGGTGACTGTCTGTCCGTCCGTCTGTGCACACCATAAAGGGACACTCAGTATAGTATAGTTATGTACCGCCTTGTACCGCACTTCCAATACCGCGTCTGTTTGAGTGTCCCTTAACTCGAGTAAAAATTGAGATATCTTAACGAAACTTTGTACGTGCACTTCTCTCGGGTGTAGGACGGATGGTATTGAAAATGGGCAAAATCGGACAATAACCACGCCTACCTCCCATATAACGGTAATTTTCAGAAATACGAAAACTGCGATATTTTAGTAACTACTGAAGATTATTCATTCAAAATAGATATTTACAATCATTTTTAGACGAAAAATCAGAATATTATCAATTTTTGGAAAATGGGCGTAACCACGCCCACTTATGGTTACATGTGTGTATCTTGGTAACCGCTGCACCAATTTCATCCAAACTTAGCACAGTTGTTGGCCTGGGTACAGCATACCAAATAGCCGAAAATTTTTAAAATCGGACAATAACCACGCCCACATCCCATATAACGGTAATTTGGAGAAATACGAAATCTTCGATAAATCAGGAAATATTAAAGCTAATTTATTCAAAATTGATGCTTGCAACAATTCTTTACCAGGAAATACGTTTATGATAAAAATTCGGAAAATGGGCGTGGCACCGCCAACTTATGATCACATATATGTATCTCGGTAACCGTTCTACCAATTTGTACCAAACTCGGTATGGTTATTGTGCTTGCCACATAAAAGCAAAACGTTGAAAATTATTGAAATCGGACTGAGGCCGCTTTTCATATATCGGTAAATTTTTGTTTAGCGACATACTTATGAACAGATTTTCTGCTTTTTGGAGGTGAACTATCCAATACGTAATTAAGAGTACAAAATTTCTCCTCAAAAAACCAAGTTATAAAATAATCCTATATTAAAAAGATAACTTCTCCATCTGCAACCGTGAATTATCGCTTACTTTGGTAAATAGTGGAGAAACGTCAAAGACAAAAGGTAAACTACATACATTGAACGCCGCTAAGCAAAAACGTGTTGTTGATGTATTTTTATTTTAAAACTAGCAAATACCGGACGTGAAGCAGTGAAGGCCTTAAACGTATTTTTGTGCTGTTTGATAGTCGTTTTTTAATATTTCATTTATTTTATCAATTTAATTTAATGAAATTGTTCAGGCAGGTGGCCCTCCTCAAAAATAATTTCAGCAGTAAACCCTAGGTTACACCGGACAATATTGTCAAGACAATTATGTCAAAATGATGTGTTTGTTGGAAACACGGCGAATTCATATTACAACAAACACATAATTTTGACATAATTGTCTTGACAATATTGTCTGGTGTAAAAACTAAGTAAACTTTCCAAAACCTCTTCAGTTTGATACCCATATTGCAATATTCAATTTATTTTATCAATTGAGTAGTCCACTTGCAAACAGCGTTATGTGATTTTATAATAGTAAGCCATAAATTAAAAAAAACGTCTACAACAACAAGTAACATCCAAATTGTATATTTCTTTTTATTATCTGAAAATTTGGATAAATAAGAGCCTAATAACATTAAAAATCAAAATCTCAATATGGTAGTTTTTGCAAATTTTATATATAGAAATTAAATATAGCGAGTTTTGAAAGAGTAAGTTTTATATAGCCAGCTTTTTTAAGCTTTTCGCGTTCTCTCTTCCATGAAGGTTGGTCTGCTTCTTTTTTAAGACGTCTTCCACTACGCACCGAAACTACCACGTTTTTTTGCAGTTTCTAAGTTCATCAGAAGATGGAGACTTTTGAACTTGTATAAATACGTACAATAAGGGCCGTTTGCACCATGTCTAGTTAATTCTAACTCCCAGTTAAACATCTTTATCGACGTTATCGACACCCATCATATAACATGTGATCGATAAAGCAGTTAACGTGCTTAACTGAAGGATGTACCTCCAGTTATAGCTGAAATACAATGCCGGCGAACGGCGAACTCACCACAGCGAAATTCGCGCTTTCAAAATTAGAACACCCGCAAGCATATGAAATTGAACACAGCCAAAGCGAAATGCGAAGTTCGCTTGGCGGCGCGGCGTTTCATGGCGATAGATTTATTTCTATCGCCCTGCTGGGCGATGACAGCTGTGCGTGCCAAAGGTGGCCGTATTTGTTTTTTGCTTTCAAAGTTTTAAAAGAAAACAACCTGAACACGATTTTTTTTTGTTGTTTGAAAAATATAGTTGTGGATTCGTTAAATCTGGCTTGAAACAAATTATTTATAATAATCTTTCTTTGTTTTACAATTTATATTTATTATCATTTCCTCATTTCTAAATATGGTTTAGTTTTTTCTAAATATGGTCACCCAAATTATAAAGGCGACCAAATGGGATCAGCTGTTTTCGCTACCGCTCTAATTCTGTTTAAGTAGGCGAAATAGCTGGGCGAACGGTGAACGACAGCATCGCCCAGATCGGCGAAGTTTGCCGTTCGCCGGTATTGTATTTCAAGCATTAGCGTTAAATAGACATGGTGCAAACGGCCCTAAGTATTATAGCGACTTTTGAAAGTGTATAGATACATACCATACATTTGACAAACCAAGCGAAATTTCCCTTTGTTTCAAGCCATTTGTGCTGTGTATGGGGGTGCTTGAAGGTTTGACAAGCCGCTTGAGGGAAATTTGAGCAAAAAATCAAAATTTTTTGATTTTCTGGCCGCCATGTTGATGTTTGGTCAAACCGCTTGCGTTGTGTATAGCAAAATCGCCTCATTCGCAACGAAATTTTCACCGAGTAAGGACGTAAGAGAGGAAAATGAAAGAAAACCATAATATTTAGCATTGCGAACTGGAAGAAAACTAAAATTCTTTGCTTGAACGAGTCATGTTTGCATGGTGTATGGCGAAATGGGAAAAGTAGGTTTGAAGAATCTTTGACAAGCCGCTTGTGTGGTGTATTTCGCTCTTAAGTATTTTAGCGCCTTTTGCTAGAGTAGCTAACATTTGATGCTATTTGTTTCAGAATATATAAGGATTTTGCACTGTATTGTTAGTGGACTTGAAACTACTTTAAATACTGGTACGTATGATTCTTGCCACATATGTACATATTTCTCTCTATTCTCTCTTCTCTTTTTTATACTCAGCTAGCACAGCGCAAAAATAAAAAAAAAGAACCTTTGCTAGCTTCAGGCAGGCTCAAAGCGAAACTTATGTACAAGCAGCGCTCCGCTCAAAGCGAAATTCATGTACGTATGTACAAGCAGCGATAGATGCCAGTTTAACACAAAACATAAACATGAGACAAAGTCGAGTAATTTTGCCCAAAAGTCTTATCTCTAATTAGTATGGGAACCTGAACGAAAGACACAAGATCACGTAAGAACAAGAGAGTGAAAAAAGTCGATTTTTTTAGCGGGTTCTACGCCATCTTGTTTCACTGGAAAACGAGCGAAAAGTAAACAAAGCAAAGAAAACGACGAAAACCAAAATTAGCCAAAACTATTGTCAGCCACTTTAAACGCACAATTTAGGTAAAATGATGCAACAAAATGCTTTAAAATGGGTTGTCATATTGAATTAACTCTTCTTTATTTGAATAAAAGTGTAAAATAGTGGTGCTTGTGATGTAAACAAACGCTCAGCTGACGAACCCGCTTTCGCAAACTTTTTTCTCAAAACCAGTTACAAATACAACGTCGCGTTCTTACGTGATCTTGTATTTTTGGTTCATGGTATGGGAACCAACAACAAACAAAGTTACCACATGGTAAAATGTTTTAAAGTTACCAGGTGGCCAAATTAACACAGTAGATAATATAGAACTGTGAGCACCCTAAATGTAAATAGATACGCGTAAATATATAAATATGCAGATATATTCAATGTGTCAAAACTGAAGTGTATACTAACGAACCTTCTACAAAACAAAACTGGACTACTCATTAATTAATTAAAATGGTGTAGTAATTTAATTTTTTAAATTTAAATAAAGCATGAATTCCCCATGGAATAACCGAGTAGACAAAAAATATAGGTAATTCTCTAGGGTGGGGTAACAACCCCTAAAAAAGGTGCGGAAAAGTCGGGAGGGGTACCAAACAACGCGTTTCGGCCCCCCTAATAACAATCCGGAGGGGGGTAGATAATATTATTAACCATTTAAAAGTTATGAACAAAAAACTTTTGTTAAATTTCGTTGTTTTCTAAGAGCAATTACCACGTCAAAAATGCGCTAAATCACCAGTTTCCACTTTTAAAACACTACTAAAACGTTTCCGGTTATTATTTTATGCAAACCAAATCATTTATTCACTTTTATTTTATATATTTCGTTAATAAAACAGAGTAAACAATAATAATAAAACAGAGTATAACCTCAAATCGCTGGTATTGCCACTTTATTTCACATTTCATTTGCGCTATTATACCAAAGAACGTAAATGTATAAGAAGCGACAACTCGCTAAAGTCGGCGAGTGAGGTCTGAAAGGTTGAGATGAGGAGTTCGCGTCCGTTTTAACATCCATTTTCGTAAATGAATTCGCCGCACATATGGTTTCGCGGCGATAAAGAACCTTAAGAAAAAGTGACCGATGATAGAAATA